ATTTTAATAATAAGCCCTTAGATTCTCAAGCGCAAAGCACACTTCGATTTAGGTGAATGGGTTCCTAGGCATCCCAGTCCTGACTAAGGTTTCAGGGTTCGGGAAGCTTAGACAGGCCATGAACGCGTAAGCAAATTCAGTCCGTTCCCTCCCTAAGTTCTTTAAGACCAAGAAAGCACATGGGGCACACGAAGCCATCCCTGTGACCGGCATCTGGGACTACACGGAGAACTCCAACAAGAAGTACTCCTTACCCCCCAGATACGGTGGGCTGACGCGGCACTTTACGGACCGCAAGACAAGTTGCAAGGTGCCGCCCGAGTTCGAGCAGCGACTTTACAACATGTCAGACCAACATGACATGATCACCACCCCTGGATTCAACCAAAATCCAGGATGACACATCATCCACGACTTGGTGGCCAGCGGAATCTGTGCCATCCACCACTCACCTTCCAACCACTAAACCCTAAACCCTAAACTCTAAACCCACTGATGGTGATACTGATGATGATGATGATGATGAATGCTCCATCCAGCCTTTGCTGCTGCTGGCTCCTCTTCATCCTTGGAAGCTATACTGATGATGAATGCTCCATCCAGCCTCTGCCGCTGCTGGCTCCTGTTCATCCTTGTAAGCTTCCTTTGCATGCTCGACCAGCACCAGGACCACAGCCGTTGACGTTGTCCGACATACAGTAAGCTAAGCAGGGGACTTTCTCAGGTCGAATGGTTTTGGGTAAAAAGGTATACATCTCTGCAGGGCAATTTAAATACCGACTCAGATCAGCAGCTTCCGACATCTAAAATTCAATTAAGGCGGATGATGCCACACTGAGTAAACCTACCGCAACTACTCAATGCTCCTGAGGCATCTCTTCCAACCCTGCCACTAAGATCATTAACCGGTCAAGTTTACTGCGGAAGATACAACCTGAGCCGATGACCTTTTCGAAGTTCAAATCAATCTCAGCCGGGCAGATGCAGCCGACTTTGTTCGACGATGTCGGTGCCCCGTTGGGCCCAGTTGACAACGGGATTTTGCAGGGTGTTCAGAAAGGGCTCGGGTCGGCTTTCAAGGTTTGGGGGTTCTAGGCTTGGATGGTTTACTCTACTTTCATGGGCTCGGGTTCCACGGTTTTGGATTTGGAAGCTGGAGGGTTTATGCCAATCTTGTGGGTTGGTATAGATAGTATAGATTTCTTAGAGTTCAGGGCTAAGTCTGCGGTTTTATGGGCCCGAGAGGGCCCATTGGACGTCGTTCCACGGTTTGTGCTAAGTTTATGGGGTACTTCTGATTGGGTTTTGAGGGCTTTGTCTGAGGTTTCGAGGTTTGGATTTGATTTCGGAGCTTTTAGGCCAATTTGGTGGGTTTGCTTGG